AAAACTGAGCTAAGCTATTTTTAATATTTAATGATGAGAATTAAAATATCCATTTTACAGACAAGGATACAGAGATTCAGGGAATACCAAAAGCAAATAGCAAGTGACCAAACCTGATTCTAAGCCAAGAATGTCTGACACCAAAGCCCCAACTGTTCTCTGCCCACATTATACCATTAGCTCCAATGGACTGCAAGAAAATAGGAATCCTGTATTTCTCCGGAGGTACTGTGAGATTTTTTCAGGCCTAAGCTTTTTTCCTGAAGGCAACAGTAAATTTAAGGAGGGGTTAGCCACAGAGCAGTATCCTTGAGCAATACAGCAAATTTGTTCCAGGAAGAGGAAGTGGCACAATAGCTGTATGTGTTCAAACAAAAGGCTAGCTCTGGAAAACAAAGTAAATAAGAACACAAGATTCATTTCACAAATATTTACTGAATACCTACTACGCACCATGCACAGTACTAGGAGGAAGGAAGAAAGTGGTGAAGAAAACAGGTAAAATGCCTGCCTCATACTGTGCACACTTGGTGAAGCTTACCTTCTGTAACTGTCCTTCCATTAGAAAAGTAGTTTTCTAGCTTGGTTGACCATTATCCCCAATGGAAGTTTGATTTAAAAAAAAGAAACAAAAAGCCACGAAACCAAAACTGGTGAGAAGATTTTGATTTAGTAGGTCCGAAATGAGGGCCAGGGATCTCTATTGATTTGAAGTTCCACCAGTGATTCTTAAGCACAGTTAACTGAGAGAACCAGGACTCAAGACAGTTACTAATTAATCTCCATACAACATAAGCTATTTGCTTCTTTTACATGTGCTTGGATTTATCACAGGACCAAATACAAACTTAAAGTTTGCCTTTTTTTTTTTTTAACATTTGTTTTTTGTAAATGGTAAAAAGATAAATAACTCAAGTAGATTGCCTTAAAAGCAATGAAATTATGAACTAAGTTTGGCCTCCTCTGAAAACAGGGACAACTTCACAAGCCGTATGTCATGGTTAAGTATATATCCTATTCTTGTGCTAACCACATATAATTGTAAACAGATAAATCAGACTAGCATTAAATACAGTTTAGTATTAATCAGGTTGCATTGTAAACTTAAGAATTATTTAAGAACTTTGTTTCCTGGGTACAGAAGTCAGTTGCAAGAAACTGCAGCAGAAAGATATACTGGAAGAATGCTCCCACGTATGAGGAAGCAAAAGGAAATCTTTCGAGATCCTTTGAGCCAACAACCACATTTTGAGGTGGACACGACTGAAATGTCATGAGCAACATAAAGGAGTCCATGAACAAGAGCTGCTTCACTGTTTGCTTCCTCCACCTGATTCCTGTTTCCCTCTTTGATCTGACAACCAGGAGGCCCAATGCCAAATATATGGCCCACATCAAGCAATTCTACAGGAATCTTTCCTGTACAACCTTAATCATGGCTTCATCTTATTGGTCGTCAATTTCCTCTGCTACTAATTTATTTATTATTTTTGAATAGGCTTTATTTTTTAGAGCTGTTTTAGGTTCATAGCAAAGTTAAGCAGAAGGCACAGAGAGTTCCCACATACACCCTGCCCCGGGTTACCCACAGTTTGTCCTGCCTATCAACATCACCCACCAGAGTACTCCATTTGTGACAACTGATGAACCTACACTAACACATCATTATCATCTAAAGCCCACACTTTACTTCAGAGTTCACTCTTGATAGTGTACCTTCTGTGGGTTTGAACAAATGTGTAAGATACATAGCCATCATTACAGTATGTCTGGTGTCAGACATTCCTAGCTTAGAATCAGGTTTGGTCACTTGCTATTTGCTTTTGGTATTCCCTGAATCTCTGTATCCTTGTCCATAAAATGGGTATTTTATACAGAGTAGTTTCACTGCCTTAAAAGTCCTCTGTGTTCTGCCTATTCATCTCTGCCCTGCCCCCCAACCCCTGGCAACCCCCAATCTTTTCACCATCTTCATAGTTTTGACTTTTCCAGAATATCGTATAGTTGGAATCATACAGTATGTAGCCTTCTCAGACTGCCTTCTTTCACTTAGTAACATACGTTTAAATTTCCTCCGTGTCTTTTCACGGCTTGATAGCTCATTTCTTTTTAGCACTTAACATTCCATTGTCTGGATGCACCACAGTTTACTTACCCATTGACCTACTGAAGACCATCTTGGTTACCTGCAAGTTCTCGCCACTATTAATAAAGCTGTTAGGATCATTTGTGGGCAGGTTTTTGTGTGGACACAAGTTTTTGACTCATTTGGGTAAATGTACTTTTTATACAACATGGAAACTCCCTCAGATCCTTAGGGTATGAGCTAGAGTGCATAAAACAATACATCTGGTTCTTTATTTCATGGTTCAACCACGTGGAGAGTAGCACTTTGAGTGATTTTGAGGAGGCAAATGACGTGGTGAGAAAAGGAACAACAGACCAAGTTCAGACTAAGCTTGTTCTTCCCCTTTTCATGATGAAACACATACTCCCAGAAGCCCATATCAAAAGTGATCTCATTATTACCCACCAAAATAACATGTATTCTATACAATAGCAAAGAGCTTAAAGTACTCAAAATAATTCTACTCTCTCCACCAGGTAAAATGCCAAAATACTTATAAACATATCTACGTATGCTAGCAAACATTTCAGCATAGATTTTGATGCAAATCCATTTCCTCTCTTACAACTATGAGAATATTAAAATATAGAACAGCTTACACATTTGGGTATATGGAATATGAAATAACTGCACTTATAAGAAAGGCGTTTACTTTTGGTAAAGTTAATCCACAACTGCATTAATTTTAATGCTAACTTCAACCCTGCTTCATCTTATTTTCCTTCATTATCTTTTTGCCCCTGAATTCTTACTTAACTTTATTTTATCTGCCTCTATTAGATATATCTATGTCATCTGCCTTAAATCTTTTCTGGTACAAGGTAGGGCAAAAAAAATTATTAAAGAATGAATTAAGTAATCAAAGTACTTCAAACCTCATAAGTTCTTTGGACAATTCATATTCTTTTTCTTCTTTTCTTTGGATGAAAATTCTCCTTAAGAAAAGCTATTCTGGGCTGGCCCAGTGGCGCACTGCTACAGTGCGCCGCTTGGGAGTGCGGCGGCGCTCCCGCCGAGGGTTCAGATCCCACATACAGACCGGCCGCTCACTGGCTGAGCAAGGTGCGGGAGCAACAGCAAGGGGTGCGATCCCATTGCCGGTCCCGGTCCGGTACGGGCGCGACACTGAGGGTTGCGATCCGTTGCCGGTCACGAAAAAAGACAAAAAGGAAAAAAAAAAATAGAAAAAAGAAAAGCTATTCCGGGCTGGCCCAGTGGCGCACTGCTACAGTGCGCCGCTTGGGAGTGCGGCGGCGCTCCCGCCGAGGGTTCAGATCCCACATACAGACCGGCCGCTCACTGGCTGAGCAAGGTGCGGGAGCAACAGCAAGGGGTGCGATCCCATTGCCGGTCCCGGTCCGGTACGGGCGCGACACTGAGGGTTGCGATCCGTTGCCGGTCACGAAAAAAGACAAAAAGGAAAAAAAAAAAAAGAAAAAAGAAAAGCTATTCCTAATTTTTTCGTGTAAATTCTATTACATACCCATGGTTCATTTAACATTAGGGTTCACTCTTGGTGGAGTACATTCTGTGTAACACTGCCAAGAAACTAATTTCCACGTAGAAACTGCAATATCATTTGGCTAAAAATTATTTTACATGACAGACATACATAGCACCTTTCCTTAAGAGTTGTTTAAAAGCCTCTTGAACTTTAGGTCTCTTTTATATGATACTTGTTTATGTTTTGCTTAATAATTATAAGAATAATGAAAGATAACTGCATAAAATTTTTAAAATGTATAAAAGAATACAGAACAAAATTAAAAGAATCTGTAATACATTTATCCAGAGAAATCACTGTTCAGATTTCACTGTATAAATCACTCATATAATAACATGGGTGGAAATGTTGATGCCAACATCTGGTTTTACCTAATTTTCCTCTCCCTGGTCAGAGACCTGTCTTCCCTAACCAATCAAACATACAAAACCTCCATGTTTTGCATTCACAATCACATTCTCACTGACACAGTCCTGTTTCCATGTGGATGAGATGCAATAACGAATCAGTGAGTTTAATGTGTGTCATAATCAGTTCTTATTCTGTCTTTCACAGTTGTTCATGTCGGTGTTTTCTAGTCATCATATCTGTAAACTCACCTGCCTTACCAAACATTTAAGTTAGCCTTCTATATGCCTATACAAAAAGACTGTTTTTTCATCCTGTAGCATCAAAATAGGTTGTCCCTAAATCTCACCTAAAAATTTCATTTAAAACACATGTACCTTCCTCTCCAAATCAACTGAACTATATCCACATGATTAATTTACAAAAAAGCACATGTGCTTCTGAGCTGATATCTCTCTTATCTATATGTGGTAACCCTGACTGTTCCATCTCATTCTTGGTCTATGAACACTTCATTCAGAATGCAAAAGGTGGCATTAAACAATAACTCATACCTGAAACTAAGAAGAAATATATTTCTGTTATGCAATGGTAGATCTCACTACAGCATGGAAGTAATCACATCTGGTTTTATGAGGAATAATTATTTTGAGATTTACACTAGCCCCATAAGTCTTAGAAAAAAATATTTTACTTTGGATTTCTTCCATCTCTTTCTATTTAGAGAGAGACAACAGAAATAGACCAATATGAAAACACTTCCATATACTTGTTACTCTGATTAAGTAGAAAGTTACATGGCACATGTGACCAAAAAGTAATATTTCTGCCATGAAATATTAACAAAAAACAAACCATACAAGATTCTTTCCTTACTAAGAAACAGATCAGAGAAGGCCTACCCAATCACTCCTAGTGGAGAAACTAACCATGAAATACTGTTTGTATGTAAAAGATGTTTCCTTTCAGATGTCTCTGTCTCGGTAACTCACTCTTTATGGCAAACATCTTGAGCATTACCTTGCAAGTCTGAATCATTTGACTTTGGACTGCTTCTTGCTCGCCGCTCCGTTTTCTTAATTCCTGGCCCACCACCGCTGCCGCCTCCGCCGCTGCCGCTACTGTGACCCTTCCCGTAGCCATTGTACACTGTTGTGCAGCTGCTTTTGTAGATGGAAGACGGAGGACTATTGAGGCGGTTCTGGCGGTCAATCTGGCGGTCTTTCAGTTTTTTGTGTGGAGGCTTACTGTACTGGTCTTCTCGGGTAATGTAGCTTGACATTCCGTAGAGTGGTATAATTTCTAAAATGGATGATTATAACAAATGCAAGTTAAGTCTACATATTAAATAATAAATTACCAAGTGGTCAAATAACTTGACCCCTGTAGGAAGCCATCTAAAGTCTTGCTAAATACAATATAAAAAATAGTTTAAAGAAAATGCTATATACATTATATATGTTTAAAGCATTCTCATTGATTCCAAACCAATCAAGGAATAATCAGTCATTAAAAACCATACTGGGTTGGGCCGCTCACTGGCTGAGCAAGGTGCAGGAGCAACACCGAGGGTTGCGATCCCGTTGCCGGTCCCGGTCCGGTATGGGCGCGACACTGAGGGTTGCGATCCGTTGCCGGTCACGAAAAAAGACAAAAAGGAAAAAAAAAACAAAACCATACTGTGTCTTCAGAAGTTTTCCATAAATTATGGAGAACACTGAAGATGACAAGGTTATTGTCCTTAAAGAGTTCATATTCTAGTTTAATTTATAACTAAGTTTCATTTTGCCTGTCAATATTTTTGTAGTTGCAATACATGAAAAAGTTAGAACAAATAAATAAAATACCTCCTTTAAATGTGTACTTAGAATCAAGATACTTAAAAGCATATACTTATCCTGGTAGGTAGAATAGCATTTCTACTGGAAAGTATATAGCAACCAGAATATAGGGAGTTATTTGTAGCATCTGAAAGAGCCACATTTGAACAAACCTTACTAAAATAATGAGATGAGAACTAATAAATGCTCACAGAATTGGGGGAAATGTTAAAGGGGAAAGTATAATGGTAAAGATAAGCCACCACTGCAATCTGGTGCCAAATATAATAAGCTGTGGTCTCACATTTCTCTTTTGGAGTAATAATAGGCAAGACAAAACTAGAACGCCATCTGGCTTCACTATAAACATTTTTAAGTGGCTCAAAAGAAAATGGGAGCCTGCAAAGTAATCTTACAATCTCAGGGGGAAAAACCTACTTTAATTAAACTTTTTAAATCAATTTGAAACTATATTTAGGCATCAATAAAAATGACTATGCATGGGAAAGGGGGAGGGGAGCGGAGTGAGGCAGGCACAGAAAGAGAAATACTACACGTCCTCATAAGTGGGAGGGACAGAGGGAAGAAGAAGGAAAAAAGGAAAGAATGAAAAAGGAAAGAAGGAAAGAAAGAAAGAAAACAAAATGTTGAACTTTCAGAAGGAGAAAACAGACCTATAGTTACTGGAGGTAGGAAAGTGGGGGTGGGAGGGGAGTAAGTAGTAATGGGGTAAGGGACACAAAGATAATTATGATTTTTAATGATAAACATGCTAATAATATTGATTTGATCATCACATACTACACACAAATACTGATAGTCAACTCTGCACCCCATAAAAATGTATAATCAAAAATAAATGTTTCTTAGAAAAAATAGTAATTAAAAAAATGACAATGCATAACATAGAAATTGGGTCCTTACATCTTTATAAGAAAAAAGAGTGACCATGTAAATTAGCATCCAAATTTGAATACTTCTGAGAGTGAAAAGGTAGGACTATTAATAATTTCTTTCAGACAACAGACCTAAATCAGGAGTGTCCCAGACACACCAGGAATGTATGGTTACCCTACATAATTTAACAACTGATGTTTCAATTTTTAAATGATAAAGCTCTACTTTTCATTTCCTTTTTGTTCACACCAATTTGCACTAAAGAATATGTAAAAACAAATACAATCTTATTCAGAGAGTATATATCCAAACAAACTATGTCAAAGTATATCAGAAGGATGGTACATGTTCTCAATGCCACAATGCATTACCACTTGAGATTTAAAATACTCACCATGAGCACTAACGTAATAATCTTTTAAACCATGTTGAGAACTTTTTAAACTTTTATGGTTTGGGAAATTATTGTTTAAATTGCTTTTAGGTATGCACCTTGAGAACTAAGGTAAGAGAATATGTAAGTGGCTTTTTATTTATAAAGCAAAGGGATTTTGTTTTACTGAGTTTTTAAATCTGAAATCAGTAAAGGCACTTATATTTGTACATTTTTACTCTGCATTATTTTAATGAAATTAGACTGAAAAACACTATGAAATGAAGAGACTAATTTTTTGTTTAATTTCAATGGTGATTTAAATAATACTGTTGTCTTGCCTAAAACTGCAAAGGACACCGTTTACAAAACAGTAACCATGTGGCATCCTTACTAACAAACTGCCAAGATAAGGCATCATCAAGTGATGATTCAGTACCAAGGACTTTCACGATGTCATTGGAGCTCAGACCCAGCCGGAAAACTCTGACAAGTGTTCAACTATTTAATGTATATTGTGTCAAAGCAATAAACTTTTTTTAAAAAAGTATAGTTAACTAAGTTTTTTTAGTTTTTATTCAAATGTTACCATGGTTTATGCCGCTACTTGATTTTTTTGGTGTTATGCCACTAGGCAAAAAGATCATATTAATAGGAAGTTATTGACACTACTATGAAATCAAAGTATTGATTTCATGTTTTGATATCATCTCCCCACCCCCCATATAAAAGCACCCAATTATTTGGAATTACACTAAATTTCTTTCTGACTACTAAAAAAATAGCCAATCAAATTCCACCCCTAAGCTACAACAGGATATTTCATTAAAATATCCATCTCTAATTTTTGTTAAGAAAAAAATTACAATATGGGTTGAACATAGAGGGGGAAAAATACATATACATATATACATACACACACTTGTAACATAAGAGAAAGAGAAAATTTCTATATTGTAACAAGCATTTTTCGAACAATTTATCTGATACAATATAATAAATGTTTGAAGTGGTAATGCTTCAATTCACAGTCAGACTCAGAAGGAAATCACTTTGCAAAGTCCTAGAGGTGAAAGTCTAATTTTTACGCAAATTTATCTGTTTCTTAGTATCCATTTTGACAGAAAAGAGCTTTAGACTAAATCAACACCAAGGCCAAACCTTAAGACATAATATTGGTAGCTCTGAGGTTCTTTTCATTTCAAAGTAAGTATTTGCCTAACAACCAGTGAAACTGTGGCTGCACTAATGGCTAGTCTTAAACTAAAAATAGGTTCAGAGGGTCACATCAACAGTGAGGGGATTTTTGAGTTCTGCCAAGATTGTAACATAGAGCATACAGGAAACCCAAAGGTTACTAAGTCCTCACAACCTTCTAACATGGAAAGTGGGGCACGAAACAGTTTTCAATTTCTCTTCTACTGCTAGGCCACATGGATACCAAAGAAAGACTGTGCCACAGGTCTTCCTCAGACCACTCCCATGTAAAAACATGCCAGTGGGATACAGGAACATATAACAGATCACTGCCTGTTTTCTAAAATAAAACAGTGGCTATCCTACTTGATCCTTGTAGGGTCGGAGTGGAAGGCAAAATTTAGGGAAATTGAGAGGAAAAAAGAGAGCTACAACCCACAAAGTAATTTTTCCAAGACGTAATTCGGGACAAAGGAAGCTAGGAATTTCCCATGAGTTTCAGACACCAGATAGATCCCTCTCTACCATGCTTATTACAGAGGAAACAAAGGGCTTGCTTAAACTGTTCAAGTGTTGTAACGTTTCAACAGCTCCTGATGACCGATCATCTACTCACCTTGCTCGCCATATACTGTGGGGGGAAGATGATGCTGAGGAAAAAACTGGGGCGGCATGTCTCCAGGTCCAGTAACAGGTGGGTAGTACGCCGTATGGGAGTTGTGAATAAAATGCGGGTGGTGAGTCAGGTAGGGGGGCAGGTGGTGGGTTGGAGACATGGCGGAGGGGTAGCTTGGCGGGTAACATTCAGGAGACTGGGGTGTGACCACCACCCGACGGACCCCAGTACTGTCTTCAATCACCTGAGGGAAAAAAGCAAATGGAAAGAATGTAGTCCATGTTATTAGCAAACACCCTGTGAATATATACAGGATAGTAACTTCCCCCTTAATTTTAATTTTCTCACCCCCATAGGAAAAAAATAAATGCACATTATATTCTGGTTCTCTAATTCAACCAGTTAAATGAGTTCTAGAAGTAATAACATTTAACTATTAAAATTGATGAAAATAAACTATTCATCAACCACCTGATTCCACAAAACTTTTTGCAGAGGCCAATAGCTTGATAATCTCATTTTTGTCAAAAAATTTTCACTGGCTTCATCTGAGACAAATGGACTCATTGTGTGCTTAAAATGATATTAGGAATGACTTTGATACAACTATCAATTCAGTGGTTTTCCAGGAAGAGGCTTTCTGGAAATAAGTATGTATTCCAGGGCTGGGCTTCCAGATCTGCCTGACAACATTCTGCCCCATTCCTGCTTTAACATGCACAGCTCCATAATCATCAGGACTTTAGAAAACTAAGGAAACAATGTCAGAAGCCATAAAAGTGCCCTAAAAGATCATTTAATCTGGCACTGAGAATGTGCATAAAATGAAGGGATTCTGACAATGAAAAACTTGAGGAATCCCAAATCAGGACAGACACCTTTGCTCCCAAGACGTCCTGATGACATAATGAATGTTGTGATGGAAGATACTATGAAGGGCAACCTGTTAAGAGCACAGCGAGCCAATGAACATTCTATCCATACTTTCTCCAGGGTTTTTTCAATTCACCCAATGAAGGCAACTAAGGCAGTGCAATGCCTTATCATTGTCATCGTTGTTGTTGCTCCTGTGGCCAACATCGTGCTACTTGCTCTAAGAGTAAACAATTTTGGTGAGACACAAGAAAAGAAACAACTAATACAGCAGATACCACAATCAAAAGGTAAAACTGTGGGGTACAGAGAATGAGAGCATGGGATGGCAGGATCAGGAAAGGCTTCAGGGACCTCAAAGAATTGGTAGGACTGGGACAGATGAGAGAATGGCTTCCAGATCAGGGCCCTGCAAAGAAGGGGACATAAGAGTAAACTCAGAAGCCAGGACCAGGCTGCTGAGGAGAGACACCAGCTGGTCTAACCAATTATTTTAAACAATCAGGTACACACTCTGATAGGAAACTGTTTTTTAAAAAAACACTGAAAATTGAACTTGTATACTGAAATGGATTTCTCATTAGACCTCAGGAGGTTGATTACAGGCCAAAATAAAATGACTTAATCATGTTCAAAACATCCTAACAATAACAACAAAAAAATTGTACTTAGCTTCATTTAAAAAATTAGTGCTTAAGCCAAATTGGCAAGTTTAGCAATGTTTAGTCTACACTTTAGTGTACAAGGTTGGTTAAGTTTGAATTAACAGCCATTAATCGTTAAGAAAATTAAAATCTTTATATTTATAAATGAACATAGAAGTTTCTACTATGTCAATAATTCATTAACAAAACAATATTAACTCTTTAAAATTAGGATTTTGATTCATAATTCCTACTAAAGCTCTGGACATTGGTTTTAACATAACCCCTCATGGGCCTGGCAAGTGAACTGCATTAATCCCATGTATGAATGCACAGCTGCTAATCTGCAAGTATATGTGAAACAGTGCTTAAACCAAGACCCTGGAAATTCTCACGTGTGTACTGATAATCATCAAACCATCTTCTATTCAGACTAAAATACAGAGCATAAATATGCTGTTTGGTGGCACACTTTGTACAATCTTACTATAAACATGTTATGTGTTTTTCTTACCATCTGATACAAACATGCATTATTCTGGTGTCTTCTTTCCCTCCCCTACCCCCCCGTTCCCCCATTAACTATTAGGAAAAAAGTAAGGCATAATCCAGATGCCTCTCTTTCATAGAACCTTCATTCAATCCTGGAAGGTTCACAGAAGCAAAGTATTTATTTTCTAGATGTTTACAACCTTTATTATTTCCTTCAATGTAAAACTTCCAATAGTCAACAAGCCGCATGGACCTGACTGATGTAGTAAAACAAGAACAGGACTCTCATTAAATATGAAGAACTCCTTGGACTTTTAAACAGGGGTACCTAAAATTAAAAGAATTAATTTCTGACTTACTAAAAGTGCTTTTTAAAAAAAAGTTTGTAAAAAAGCACCAACAAAGAAATCTAATCAAGGAAGAAACAAAAAATAAAGGAGACACAAAGCTGAAAGATTATCTCTTTACTATTATACTTTAAGTGTAAATAATACTACTTCATAAATTAATAAATGTCAATCTAAAGTGTAAATTACCTTTCACACACACGCCAATAAAAGGTTTCCAGTTAGAAAACTCGGTAGCTTTTTAAAACCACAAATTGCCTGCACATATAAAAATTGTTTCACAGCCCTGTTTTTAATTATCTTTTTCTGTGGTATTTGTGAAAGATTTACATGTACATGCACAATCACTCAGAAACCTGTTCTTATCAAACCCAGGTCTGTCCTATCACTAAAAAATTTATGTTAAAAAAATGAAATATTAATTCTGAAATAAGTAGAAACAAATATCAGAAATATATGCTAGATATTTTTTTTACTATTCTTCTACAATATAAATTACAAAATATTTTAGTTATCAGTTTTGATCTGTGTCTAAGGAAATTGTGTCTATGTTCCCCCAAAGAGTAAGAAAATCTGAGGAGCAATAGTAATGCTAAAATAATAAGCAACTTAGGAAATAGTGGCAATAACATTCTTTGTTTAATACAGATTGTTTATAAATAAATATATTACTGTAGTAGAAGAATTTAACATTAAGAGTTTAGTCCCCAAATCCTGAGGCAATAAAATATACCTTCAGTCCTTACAGATAAGGACTGGAAAAAGATCCATGTCCTTTTGGGGTGAATGAAATTGTGACAATGTACAGAGGGAGACAAATCACCTGTATTCAATTCAGCAAATATTTCCTGACACATACTATGTGCTAAGTACTGGATATTCAAAGGTGAGAAAAAAATACATGCAGCCCAAGAATAATATAAAGAGAAAAATTATAATAAGTCCTAGTATGTGCTGTTAACAGAAATCAGAACAAAGTATCATGATTTCGGAAATCAGAACAAAGTTTTTTCCAGCTCTGTGACTCAACGGAGCTGTCACTCATGTATCTTCTACAGAGAAGCACAGAACTTTGGAAAAGATCATTCTGTTAGGTTCTCAGATGTCACCTATTATGTGCTAAATTTTGGCCCACTCCACCGCAAATTCATATGTTGAAGTCCTAATACTCAGTATCTCAGAAAGTGACTGTATTTGTACATAGAGCCTTTTAAAGAAATAATCAGGGTAAAATGAAGTCATATCAGGGGACCTTAATCCAATATGACCACTGTCCTTACAAGAAAAGGAGATTATGACACAGACACCCACAAAGGGAAAACCATGTAAAGACAATAAAGGAAGACGGTCATCTAAAAGCCAAGGAGAAAGGCCTTAGAATAAACCAACCCTGCTGACACCTAGATCTTGAACTTCTAGCCTCCAGAATTGTGAGAAAATAAATTTCTGTTGTGTAAGCTACCCAGTCACAGCCTCAGAGCGTGAAAGCTAAATCCAAGTTTCCTCTGCCATAAGTTCCAAAAGCCTTATCTGCTTTTAAAAAGCCCTGTTAAAAAAAAGTGATGCATTTATTCTTTCTGAACAAATACCCAGCCATCATCCTCAGGCTAAGGAAGAAAGGCATCATGATGGCAAACAGCACCTACTTTGATTCTTTATAATGCCTTTTTATCCAGTTCAGTAAGTACTTACTTAAAGTTTTCTACATGCCTAGTGTGCTTGCTATCCTGTGGCCCTAGACACAAGCGTTAAGTGGTTAGGGAATAAGGCCCAAAACATCAAATGGGGAGAATCTTTGTCTAACTTGTAAAAACACCATAAAGTGTTCTTATAAGTAAGACCCATGAGAACCATTAAAACAAAAGAAAATAGCCTGGAGACAGCAGCATGACACAGAGTTATTGGGAGCAACGTGGGGTGGGAGATGAGAAAGGACTCAGTCAGTACCTGGGTTCTGTCAGTGGCTTGACATGGATTATCTCATTTAACTTCCCTAACCACTTGTGAATCACATATCTGCATCCCTGATTACATGATGAAAACCAAGGCACACCATGGTTAAAATGTACAACTAGTTAAGTAGCAGAACCAGGACTTTCATACCAGTCTGTACATCCAAGTTTTCATTATGTGGGGAATTCTAGAGATGTTAGGTAGAAAAGTAAACATGTAAACAATCAATTGTTGAGAATTAGGATACTTGGGTTATTAAGCAATGTAAAAAGGATCAAGATGCAGACAATATTTATTCAATACCTGCTGCTGTGCCTCTATCTGAAAGGAGCACACGTTAAGTTCCTAGGACTGTACCTGACACATAATAATAACATCTTACCTCCCAATTACTACTATTAATGTTATCACCTCATTAAATTCTCCCAACAATCCTGTATGGCATCTATGGTTATACTTATTCCCATTTTAGAAATAAGAGGAATGAAGCTCAGGGAAGTCAAGCTAACTGCCCCAGGGACATAGCTGCGGGGGGTGGGGGGGGGGGGGGGGGGTCCATTTTAAGCACAGAAATTATAAATAGATCTCTTAAAAACACTTATATTTTAAGTATCTTTTCTCTTAGCTAACAGAGAAGGAAGGTAGTTCTCCTTACTGAGTTGAAATGCTCCACCTCAGTTCCTGAAACTCTTTCCTTCTACTCCTACCGGGCTGCAAGCCATGAGAATCAAGAGAAGCTTAAAAGGCAGGAGACAAAGGATCAGTTTAAAAGACTTCCCCAGATGGCCAGCAATGACTGAAGAAGTGGGCAGAGCATGCTACACGTGGACACACATGAACCTGCAAACATACGCAGTGTGGTATGCCTGGCAGCCAGTTTGCTGGGTGGCAAGAACACTGAGTGAACTGCCTGGACACAGAAAACTGGGACCAAA